TCAAGTGAATGTGATTGATTGTTCAAGTATTCAGTATGGCTGCAGACTCGCATGACACACACTGTCAATTGTCCATTCAAATTTATACAACATGGCCGCATGTTTCCAGGAGTTCATAGTGCTACAGTCAATCATTTACACGTACCTGCAACCACTTGGTGCTATATCAAATGCATACCTAATGAACAACAATAACCAATTACGAACAAGGGCAACAAAGTGACAAATAATCATGACAAATTCAGACACAAATACTACATTACACAGAAACCTGCAAATGGTCTATTGAACATGTTTATTATCAACCATTGCTTATGAAAGTCACTGGAATATGTTGATGTTTTCCAGAACAAACTATCTCGTGTGAAATTTTGTAGTTGTATGTCAAGTGGTGCAATTAATAGTAAGACAAAAATGGAACCATAATGCATGAAAAGTTTGGCTTGAATAAAACCAAAAGCAGGTGATATACAACACACAATAAAACCTGACTAAACTGAACACTATTTCAACTATAAACCTATTTAAATCATTCCCTGCTCTGTAGAATTGCTTATAAAACAGCCCTTTAAATCAAATGATTTTTTTGGTTTCTTTAATATTTGACAAGGTAAAGCCATTGCCTTGCTGAAAGCCTCTTTGGAATACATGTATCCGAAATAAAACTGCATCGTGATAGGTACTGTGACTCGCTGTCCTGCCACTGTGTTTCTACATTGTGTATGAGGAATACCTCAAGCTGAATGTGTATGTATGTAGTTGATCATAAACAATGTTCTGTGAAGTTGAAATCGCCGCATTGTACTATTGGTAGTGCTATTTATGTACAATTCTAAAATAACAGCTAGAATTGAAATATATGCCATAGATTGCGCCATCTTCAGTAATATTTGAATTAAACTGATTGTTAATCAATTCATTTGGTTTAATCTGACTTATTCTCGTTAGTGTTTGTATGTTTATATTCTAAAATTACAGTAAAAACTTGTATGTACAATTCTGAAATCACAGCAAGCACCGTCATAGATTGCTACATTTTCAGTATGACTAGAATTGTGAACTTATTTGTAAATCACTTCATGACTTATTTGTTTGCATACTTAATGTCAACATTTTAATTTGTTATTGTTTGGTGCATGTATTTCTTTTTTACGTATTAAATATATGTAATATATCTATCAAGTGATCTTTTCCACTTTGTTTTTACTGAACTTGATTACAAGTCATTTTAATTTTACTTGTGCAATATCGATACATTTACATAATTACAATAAGTTCATGAAAACTTGGAATAATACCATCATTTTTCATATCGAAATGTTTATGCAACATTTTTCTGTAATTTCTTTGTTAATTTTTGACCAAATTGATATAATTCCCCATCGCATGCCTTGGTAAAAAATGTAAATAATACAAGTGATCCCACTGGATTTTCTATAGTTGAGTTGTCCTATAGTTAGAGTTTTTAAACCCAGGTGCATTGCATAATTTTTTTCTATAGTTAATTTGTCCTCGTTCTCTAGTTCTGTAGATCAAGTTCATTGTCTGACGATTAGGTAATCCATGGATAAAGTTCATTATCTATAGAAGGGTTGTCCTATAACTAGCCTTGTAGATAAGGTGCATTTTATACATATTAGGTATTCTATGGATTAAGTTTATTTTCTGTGGAGGGGTTGTCCCGTAGCTTATGTATTCTATGGATCAAGTTTATTTTTTATAGTAGGGTTGTCCTGTAGATGAGGTGCATTTTATACAGATTTGGTATTAAGTAGGGTTGCCCTATAACTAGTTCTTAGTGTTGATCAGGTGGATTGCCTACGGATTAGGTATTCCACATATGAAATCCCAGAGTTTGTAAATTTATCTCAGCTCGGTCAGTGCAGCACAAATGGTTTTTCATCAAAGCCCCACTCACCAAGCTACTCAGGTGAAATTATTGTAAGAAACATTACAGAAGTTCCTCAGACTTCATGTTTCCATTAATTTACCTAATAGTGGAGGTGGAAGGACATTCTATTAATTTTGATAACACTTGATATACTGTAAAACGCGAATTTAGCGAGAGAACCGATACGCTAATTCAAGATGTCGCTAATGACATTTATTATCAATTAAAAATGGCCGCCAAACAAAATCAAAGAAAGCTTAGAAAGAACTCCCGTGTGCTGAGAAGAGTATTGGAGACACATTAAAAATTACTTATACTTGAGATATTGATGGAATAGCTGAAAACTAATTATGCAAATAAGGTAACTAATATGAATAGATTTAAGTGTAAAACTAATAAGGTCTGCACAATGTACAAGTTTCATTGAAATGTGATTAGAACCAAACAAATATTAATTATTATGCTAATTAGAGAATTAATATGAACAGATTTTAACCCAAAATTAATCAGGCTGTCTATTGTCCTAGAGCATTTATGTACCAAGTTTTATTCAAATGTGATGATCAATACTAGAGATATCAGTATTAATTAATTACCAAAAAACTAATATGGTGTATAGTCCTAGGTTCATTGAAATGTGATGGTACTCTTTAAAAGTTTCATTAAAATCCAATGAGTGGTTTTTAGACATCAGTGCAATAGCCATAGTACAGCAAAAAATTAACTAATTATGCAAATTAGGTAATTAATACATGTAGGCACAATTATTTATCCCAAAATTAATCAGGTCTCTGCATAGTCCTAGAATATCTATGTCGCAAGTCTCATTGAAATGTGATGATTAGTACTTGGGATATCAGGTGAAAAGCTGAAAATTATGCTAATAAGGTAATTAATATGCACACATATTTACCCAAAAACTAATCAGGGGTCTGCACAGTCCTCAAGTAACTATGTACCAAGTTTCATTGAAACGTGATCATTACTACACGAAATATCAAAAGCTGAAAATTAATTAATTATGCAAATTAGGTAATAATAAGTACTGATATTACCCTAAAAACTATCAGGTCTGCAGTGTCATATGACATCTATGTACCAAGTTTTATTGAAATGTTATGATTAGTACTTGAGATATCAGTGGAAAAGCAGAAAATTGATTAATCATTATGTAAATTAGATAATTAATAATATTAACAGATTTTTACCCAAAACTAATCAAATCTGCGCACTAGTTCAGAGCATGCATGTGCCAAGTTTCATCAAAATCCAATGAGTGGTTCTTCAGATATGAGTGGAACAGTCTTGGAACAGCTAAAAATCAGCTAATTATCATGCAAATTAGGTAATTAATATTCATAGATTTTTACCCAAACCTAATCAACTCTGCGCATTATCCCAGAGCATCTATGTACCAAGTTTCACCAAAATTTGATTAGTGGTTCTTGAGAAAACGGTGGAACAAAAAAAGTGACATACATACATACATACATACATACAGACAGGGTAACTGCAAAACTCCCTTTTGTGCTTCGCACACGGGAGTCAAAAATCAATGACAAGAGAGATTCACTAAATTACGTCATTTTACCATAATTCGCTAAAATTGAATGTCGCTTTTTCAACATGTTTTAAATCATTGCAATTGGTGGGTCTTGCATACACTCTCACACTAGTAGTACATCAAGCAAGACAAAATACACAGCAATGGGACTATAATATTCATTTAATTAGTCATACAGTATGTGTATCATACCGAGTAGGGATCAAACTACCCTTTCATATCTGAATGACAATATAAAATTGTGATTGTAGACGATGAATTAAACTTTCCCAGGGGGAGACCTCATTAACCTTTTCGCCACCAGTTCCTTCTTTTCATCACAAATTCATAGTCCTGTTTATAGGACTTGGGCAAAAATAGCCAAATTTTTGCAGTAAATCAGGATTCAGTTCTAAAATTTTGAAGAATATAAGAAAAAAAGTACAGGAAATTTGGGTAAGAAAGTCTGGTGGTGAACAATACACAGCTCCAATCAATGGATTTCTAAAATTTGATTGCTCCCATCAGATGCACAATATTTTGAAATGATCAGTGCTGAAAAAACAGTTAAAAAAAAAAAAAAAAAAAAATCAGCAAAAATGCATGTGTTGCATATACTGTTATAATCAGGGGCAGGCAAAACAATCTACATTACTGGTATCATATTCAAGAATAAGTACAGTAAATAAAGATTACATTACAAACATACCACTCAATTTACACAACAATTATATAGTTTGGATGCATAAATTTCAAAAGAAAATTAGAATTTTGTCTTAAGCACTGATATATTTCATCTTGTGACGACCATGATCAGCCTCTCCTAGGATAAAAACTAACATACATATATAGTATGACACCCCCAATTTGTGAGCCATATTTCAAAATCCCAGTCACAAACATCAATCAATTGACTTTAGTTACAAAAATTCTGAATATCAATAAGTTGCTACAGGGTTGTTTTCACTCTACAATCACAATTTCTGGTGATCCCATCACATACATGTATGTATACACAACAGCGCCCCCAGATTGAAAGAATGGGTTATCTTACATAGATTCAAATCTCAGTTGGGATACCACTACAGTAGTCCATTCAAGTAACAAATCATTTTACATCTTATATCATACATTCTACATCAACTGAACTTCATCAAATCACCGAAAAAACAAAAACAAAAAAGTTTACAAAAAAAAAAAAAATTTTTTTTTAAAACAACCCAATAATTGTTAAGAGAATTTATACATTTGTCATAATTATATAACAGTTTCCTATATTTTATAATTACATTTACATTGCTGAACAAAATAAAGTAGAATCAGAATTAACATATTTGCACTGATTGGAAGTAAAAACAAGCAGTTATGTATACACAGTGTGAGGAGTATACGTACACATATGGCAAATATTATGTTTTTAACAAAAAAAAAAATCAGTATTTCATTTCACGTACATGCCTGACTGACCGACATATCAAAAACAAAAAAAAAAAAAAAAAAAAACACCCGATACTCACATGTTACTTTTTAAATACACATTGTTGAATGAAATGCATTCATCGGCACATTATTAAATATTCTACAGACCCTAGATCTGAGCTATATAAAAGATTCAAGATCATGATTCTATACATGTAGCTTATTTTGCATATCTCCCACAATGCACTGTAAAAGTAAAGTCACTAGTTTTTGTTTTATTTGTGTACAAAGACAAAAAATTAAAAATAAATTTCTCCACACATGAATGAAAGTTGAAACCAGCATGGATTGTTAGCGTCTATTACAGTACCTTTACTTGGTACCTAACTGTCATTAGCATGTACATAATAACTGGAGCAGGCTGGTCGTATAAGGCAACATTACATCACACTTCATGAGTCTCTAAATATTCCACAAAGATGTATGGCATGCAACTGTACAACCAACTATCCTCCACAAACTAGCTGTCAAAAATACACAGACAGCGGAAAGACAACGGGACTCCAGACAAACGGGTTATTTAAAGACTTAATTCAGCAACTTCTCCAAAAATTTTACGACACCAGAACATCGCATCGTTGGGAGGCTTGTCATCTTCTTGCAAGTGTTCCAACTGACTTGGTCCCCAGTACTCTGCAAGTAATTTATCGAATGCTATGTCGTACTCACGATCGAAAGCATCTGCGAAAACAACAACATTGAAATGTGTAAGTACAAAACGAAGATGGTTGAGCTTAAGATCGCTAGAAATCAGAGAGCATTTAAACATCATGTGACTATGCTTCACAGATGTTGTGTTTTTTGTTTGACCCTTTGAAAGTCAACTTTTGACACCTTACATGAAATAAAGCTACATATATTGAACAAGACTTTTAGTAATTAGAAAAGAATTTGGTGTAAAATTAACACATAAATTATAGAAATATATATATAATAACAAGTCATTGTTAATGACACAGTCCCGGTCTAAAATTTTGTGATCTGGCATATCAATCTGATGCTGATGAAGTCATTGAGATTAGATTGAAACCATTAATAGGAGATGGGATTTGTAAAAAAATTATGATTTAGGGGTGATCTCATATTCAAACACCTGGGTCAAACCTGGGTTAACCCGGTCTTCCCTTGCTAGCCCTAATCAGACCTACTAGACCTACAATATGCAAATTAGTAATAGGTTTGAACCTAACCTCTGGATTAACTGCCCATTAACACCCCCACTGAAAACAAACAGAGAACAAAGAAGACAGACCTCGGGAAACCTAGGTTTTTCTTACAAAACTGTTTCAGCCAGGTTTCAGTAGGAAACAAAATAAGATGTATACTATGGAACTCCATGTTCATACTGAGTGTTATATTTTGAAGTGTTAAGAATTACAGCAGCGATTTTTTTCTTTGCAAGTCTTGTACATGTAAATGCTAATAAAAAACAAAACTTGCATGTGTTTCACAAATCTATTTACATCATGTCATTTATAAGTGTGATGAAAAGTTTATTTATTTCTGTGATTGGTAATAATAATCAGTTTCCCACAACTCACATTTTGGTTTGTACCAAATACAATTGTTATTCAATTTATCTGGAATTAATTACAGACGTGATGGTTTGTTATATTTTGTCATTGA